AGTAGTTACTATGAATAGTTTGTGAATTGGTCGATTGTGTGTCAGAAATATAAAATGGACAAGTTGACAGTCACATTCACGCTGTCAGTTCATTTCTTTCGTCTATCATTCTTCCGTTCTCAATTACCACTGGACATCAGGCAAGTTATGGGGATAATCTTTATTTGTCTCACACCTTCTATGGGGCAATAAACAATGCAGGGTGGAAGTGAGGCACGACAAGCTCGGTGTCTGCCTGATTGTAAACAACCTGGCGGCTGGCGCTTATTTCAGGGTTCTTATTGACAAAACCACTCAACTCTTGGTGGCTCTTAATGGAGGGTCAAATGTAACAAATTTTCACTGAGTGGCTCTTAATTGAGGGTGGCGCTTATTTGCGGGTTTTTACGGTAATATAAAACGACAAGGGCCGGGTCGTCCTGTGACACCCATTTTCAGACCATTATGCAAAAGTGAATTGTGACATGTATTATCTTTTTCAGTGTTACACCGGAGGAAGTTCGAGGGAATATGGGTGCCAATGTACTAAATGCTTACGTCACTGCGATTCAAGGATTCGGGATAGAGTTTACTTTGACGTTCATTCTGGTGTTTACAGTGTTTGCTACCACCGACGAAAGGAATGAAATCTCAGGCAGTAAACCATTGGCTATCGGAATTGCTGTGATTATTGCACATCTTGTGGGGGTATGTAATAATAATAATAACCGTATCCCGGAGTGGGATCTTAATTGAAAATACAATAATTTAAAGTAATACAATAAGATAGCAAATAAAAAAAAAAACATTCACAGACAATTGAATAAGGGAAAAAAATAATGTATATGTGACCACGACGTAAATCGGTGCCAGTATTACAATATGGCTAGTGTATTTTTTTAATGAGGAGTGTGTTTCACATTGTGCTTTTGTACTCGCCTGTGCCTAGTTTATTACTGAATGAATATATTGTCCACATTTATGAACCGTTTACATATATAGAACGTATGGTGTAGAAAATCTGTCTAATTCGACACAATTATAAATTTTCAATTACCAATACATATATATATATATATATATGAAAAATGTCCGTTTTCCTCGGATCTTGTTTTTCTTATGACTGTCCGTACATCGAATGCGTTTCTCTATAAACTACTAGTACATTGTACATGGTTGCCGACGAGTTGGGCTCTACGAGAACGCCACCAACGGGAAAACTCTGTTGATTCTCGGAGAACGTTTTTTATAGTGTGATGTGATTTTTGAAGCTTGCAATCGTTTTGAATCACCACACTCGCCTCAAATTGTTTTGATTACACGTGACGTCATGCTTTTAGAAGGACGCCCTCTTTATGAAATATGCGCATGTTCTATACTTTATTTCAGATTGGATACACAAGTGTTGGTATCAACCCAGCCAGGACACTGGGGGCGTCTGTCATGATGAAAATGTTTGATGACCACTGGGTAAGTCTCATGTAAATTGTGATGTTGTCTTCCCTCCAATGATATTAATAGTTCCGTACTGACATTCCCACTGTACGATCTGACCAATGCAATCATTAGAATAAGGGTTTTGACGAATCAGTGTTTCATTATTGTTTTTATTTGTTACCAAGACAACTAATTTTATCACTCTCATGTGATTACAATAATCGACGGGAAATACAACGAATTGGAAATATTGATGTAAATGTATTTATCATTTTAAAATCATCAATATCCTTGTTATTACCCTGAATTAAAGAAAGTATTTAAATCGAGTGACGGAGGTACACTCCGTATGTGCCGGTCGTGTGCCCACCGTGGGCGTAAAGATTGTCGTCACATAGCATATGTGATTTTTTTCATGTTAGATCATTACGATTTCCTGAATAGTGCATCAAAGATAATGATGAAAAGTGTACGGAGGATTGCAAGGCATACCAAATGCATCCTATTAACCGTTGTAATTTTGCAGGTTTTTTGGGCTGGTCCATTGGGTGGAGGGGTGGCAGCTGGATGGATATATGTGTTCACATTCGGACGACAATTCGACACAGAAAAGCGAGAGACCGAATCTGAAAAGTACACAGAACACCATAAATATCTGGAGAGTATTTCAATGGATAGTGCAAACGACAGGTCGACGTTTGTAGTCGAAGACGCGCCAGGTGTGAAGGTTGATACGGTAAACTTGAGCAATGAAGTAACTACCTTATGAGCTGATGTCGCATGTTGAACGATGAGGGCGCACCGGCGGAAACTTGAATACATGTCCTGATGCAGTTAATACAATATTACAGAAATTCCTCTACTGCTATTTCCAACTGATTTTTTCCAATATATTCTTTTTCACTTGTTTCGATGTTCATTTTGTAACAAAGACTAATTTTGCAATGATATTTCATAATTATTGTGAAAGTTAATAAAAGGCGATAAAAAATATATAACGACTGGTCGTCTGAACTCATTGTGTTACATTTCACTAATATACGTGTTATTCAAATAAATACTTAGAACACACGACATATTAGTATTTATTACCAGTGTTGATTGGCTGAAAAGTTTTATTCATCGACACTATCGTTTGTTCGGTTGTGTATATACTTGCATAGAGTCTCCTGCTTTTTGTGGTTTTTAATAACATAAACTATTATGTTAGTGTGTGAATGGAGAAACTTGCTTCGCAGTAACCCGGTTTTGCCATTTACACACTAGCATACTATTTTATTAAAAGAAAAAAAAAACACTGTATGCTAATATTATTGTGGACGGATTAAACCACGGCGACGCTGTAAATTACTAGTACCTCAATTTTACCCAATTTCGTCGCAAAAAATTGCAATTTGCTGATATAATAGTTATTTTCACATCATCTTGATCAGATAGTGCCATGCGTGGGATATGTGTTTGCAATGTTTGTGCAAAAGCGTGATACTAGTATATCATATTTTACGAATCTTCGAGGTGCCAGTCAATATATACGCCATCATTTGTGAATGAACAGTGAGAAATTAACTGCAGAATGATTTGGAAACAAAGAAAAGAACTTACTCAATTAGAAGGATTTATACTGTAGGTGTTTTTGTATGAAGGCTAACCCCTACAGGACAGGACATCTACTAGTATATTGTTTAGCCCAAGCAGAATCATTTCAACAAATTTTATATTTTTAGCTTGTTCTGATGGGCGGGGGTGACATTTTACATATTCAAGAAAAGAATGCAACTATAAGGATAGTGACAAAAAAAAGAAATTCAGTCACCATATTCAGTCTTCTCGATAACGGACTGACGTCACACAATCTCGCCGTGTGAGTTTATGGGGCTTTAACAAGCTATGTAAAGCGCGTTGTAACCCGTTGATGAAACACGATTTGGGTAATTTACTTTAGTCCGCAGTGACTTTGTAATTCATTTTTAGAATAAGGTCATTAATATTTGTTTACATTGCTCAGGAAAATTATGGTCTGAAATGAAATTTATTTAGGCGAGAATATCACCACCAACGTTGTTTAGTTGTTCGTTGCATGATACCATGCCCTCTTGTGGCGGCTGCTAACAGTTTTTTGATCTACGGGTAAAACGTACTCTGACTCGTTAGAATGGGTCCAGGTCACTGAACGTATTAATAAATCTTATGAATAAACCTTAAATGTCACACATCCCAGGACTGTCTATCGCCTTTTCCGTGCTATCTGTTCAATGATTACTGCTTGTTTTAAAATATTGTAGAGCACCCCCAGAAATACCCGGATGTGTGACCAATATTTTTTGAAAATGTCACAGTTAAATAATATAATAAATAAATCAAGTTATACTTGCCCACACCCACCCACCCAAACTTACTACAGGTCACGGTCACGTGTTTATCTATCGAGACTTGTCACATTATCGATACCTATATACTAGCAAAATACTGTTATTTGGCATTATTGCTGCAGAGATAAGATTGGGGTCAAATATAATTTGTTAATTCTTCGAAAAAAATCACATTCGACATTCCTTCCTTTCTATCGCTAACCTTACTCAGCAGTCGTACGTACAATGGTTGTCAGTTTTCGTATGTCCATCACACTTCTTATCCCGTCTTTACTCATGGGGCGGCATTTCAACATTCTACCCACGACACTGATGTTTAATAGTAAACTGTTTACCAATAATAAAACACCGAGACTCTCTTTTCAAGATAATCCACAACACGATGTTGAGGGACTGTGGATAAACATACCGTCATTTCAAATCAAATGAGCAGCAAATCCATTCAAATTTTCCTCACAACAGAACAATCGAAACAATGTGAACCAAGACTGTTTACATTCTACAACGCATACGTATATAATATTGAGTCACATGTTGCACACGAATCAACATCTATAATAATAAAGGGCTGTCTAGAGCTCAATTATTTCAAAGTATACAACAAAGAAAACGACAACAGTATTCACGACACTGGGGACGCTTTATGAAGACGAATCATTCACATTTGTATAGATAAGAAATAAAGCAGCTCGAATATCGAACCCTTGTTTGGTGAACCATCAAATCTGTCCCTTTGTAGAAATGTTCATGCAATGGGCGGGGAAATACGGATATCAACATATGAAACTATAATTAGAATAATGACCACAAATGAAACTATAATTAGAATAATGACCACAAATTTTGTTGAAACCTGGGTATTTTCAGTTGAATAGTACGAATGTGTCGTAGCACTATATGTATATATTCATTAAACGTGCGAGGGACGGGAATTTCCCATAAATAGAATCATAATTCCATTGCAAGTCGCGTTTGGTTCAACAGGATAGTTTTTTGGCTAGGAAAATGATGACGGCATTAGGCCTGAAAGTGAAAAAAAAAGTTGTGTAGACTGACTTTGTTTGGGAACATGATTCAAAAAATAAACAGATAAATGAGTCACACGAATAAAAATGCGAATAGCATATTCACTGTCTTTCTTGTTGTCAAAAATACACTATAATTGTAAAGAATACATCATGAAGTAAATGAGTATTTGTTTTAATTACTGTTCCCATTCTTTCTAGAATGGTAAATGTTTCTTCACATATGTTAGTGTTACAGTGATGCTACGATGCTTTTCAGGCGACGTTTAAAAAAATACAAGGGTTAGGGTATATTCTTAAAACTATAAAATAAACTCGGAAGCTAATATTTTGGGCAACCAAAACACCAAACGGTAGTATCGTAGTGCTACTAGTACTCACAGAGTCGCTTTTTTGATTTTAGCGAAGTCAACCAAAACTGAAATGAATAAAGTCACTTATATTGTCAAAAAATAAATAATTTGTAACGTTGCCATGAAAGGAAAATCACTATTTACGTTGATATTTTAGTTGAGGATTTTGGGGGGCAGATTTCATAAGACTTCCTTATTTATTAACTCATAACAAGAAGATAAAGATCACAAACACTATTACTGCTCCAAACTAATTCAAGACACAGTCACGCTGTGGAAAGTGACATATAAGTTTGTTGCTCATAATGGAAATAAATCTCTCTCACTACTGGTTCTAAAATTATTAATATGAATTTCTGCTTTGTTAAATAAATGCCATTTATGTGTTGTATATGCTGGACATTTCATAACAAAGTGTTTTTCATCTTCAACTTTGTGTACATTGGTCACATATTCTAGAATTAACTGCAGTACTTACACAGTGTACCATGAGTAAACAGAAACTCCTACACTTGTTATGAGAGAAGAAGAACATGCGTATTATCATAGGAAACTACTTTTTTAACAAAATATGTATGACAGTATATATGTAAATGCCAACAAGTCAGACGTAACAACTATCCATTGTTGAACTTACGACCTTTTAAATTTGCATATGAGAGGTGAAGGGGAATGTGAATGACCTGTGCCAGGCACCACTTTTATTTTTTATTGAATTCCTTATTTGTTATACATTCGTCTGTGTTATCGTATCGTGGCTCAGTGATTCGTGACTGTGGATTACTGCCACGGTATGAAAGTGACCCTGACCGTGTGACAGAAATCAGTTAACACCCGAACTTTCAGTTCTATCATCTGCACCCTGCCTTACGCGCTTTGACGAACAACAAACTACGACAAGCATGGAACTTAAAAAATTGTGGGACGCTAAACAAATGAAAACTGTCAGATTTTGGCGGGCGGTTATCGGAGAAACTTTGGCGTTGTTTCTCTTTGCATTCGTCGTGTGTGCCTCCACCTTACCATGGTATTCCACGGAGATGAACAGCTCGAAGATCCTCATCATATCGTTCACCGTTGGTTTCGCGATCGCAACCTTGGTGCACTGTTTCGGCGAGGTTTCAGGGGGACATATCAACCCCGCTGTTACCCTATCCATGCTTTGTACTCTTAATATTGGTATTTTCAGGGCGTTCTTCTATATGATCGGACAATGTGTAGGCGCCATCGGTGGAGCCGCGCTTTTACTAGCGTAAGTACTGAGTCTACGTCATTCGAAACTGACTAAGCATTGTACTTGGATAATACCTAGACATGTAATCAACAGAGTAAGCTGGCGGTGTTATATCCATAATTGTGTTTGACTATTATATCTATCAATGAGTTATTTGAGTACCTAGTCATAATCTATGCTTTCAAGCGATAGTAATTGTTTGAAATGTTTCAATTGTTGTCAGGTGTGTTCAACCATGGAGCTAAAAAAGAACTTTTTTTAGCTCCATGGTTCAACATAAACCTTAAGTAGTTAGCATATACACATTATTTAACGATGGTATATTATAATAATCGTTAAACTACTAGTAGGTGATCATGAGCGACATGGTTTCGTAGCTAATGTAAATGCATATCGTCATTGATATGCCCAACCTATACACCGCATATACGTATTGTTTCGTTTACACGAAATTCGAACACGCGCTGCTTGGCGACAACTATACAACCAATTTTGTACGACAGCAAAACGTGCCTCTCAGAACCCCCACCAAGTCGATTCACCGTATTCTCGATCCAAGCAAGCGACCTCGAAATTATTAACGTCCAGTATATGCGCAATGTAGCACATCTAGTCTATGGTTTTCCCTTGAAATTTTATTGTGCCATATAATGGGTAATTTTCGTGTACAGTTCGGAATCGTACAATGTTTCCACCATGGTAAGACTTGTTGAATAAATGAACGATTTTAATTAATTTTCTTCATATGTTAATCAGCCTAACAAGGTAGAAATGCTTTTGAAAACTGTTAGGCTTGGTCCAGGAATCATCCAGTTGCATGCATGTATAACGTAATTTTCGCGATCGATATTCACACATAGCTCAAATAATTTCTAACATAATGATGATGGTGACAATGAATGAGCTCATGTGGGATTGATGTTATGTAACATGTATACAAACAGTGGTATTTTATTGATATTTTCTTGATTCACATACGCCTCGGCTAATTTCCATGGAATCTAGGTGACCTTCTCATAACACAACCACCAAGGACAGTCGATGTGGTTTTATTGCCCCGCGGTCGTTTGGTTGTGTGCACAATACAACATATACCCATTGACCACCTCCTCCGTATCCCGTAAACAAGTGGTATGATTTAGTACCGCCTATGTCACCAGGCCCCATTGAGTATCGACATTCTTCAACGGCCCCTTTCGGCGTTGCTTACGCGTGATTGGCGCCTTTATAACCAATAATATTTATAACCACGAATTATCACTGTTCTGGTGATTTGTAATATGCGACAAGCGCTAAATATGTTCCATGTGTACTAAATTACACCCATTACCAGTGCATCACAGTAATTTACGTCACATCTCAACATAACACGCATCAATATTCTCAACGGTGAATGGGGAGAAAACAATCAGACTGTATTATTGAGTGAATGAATGAATCAAGGGACGTTACAAATTTGGTATTTGATCATTCACAGCGCGAGCATTGTAGAAAATCAGAAAATTGTATAATTTATATACAGCATCCAAGGGCAGTGCATCCACATCAATATGTCGTACTTGTCATGTGCCGTGGAACCAATAGTATGTTGGTTATGTATTTACACCTGTAGTTTCTATCATAACAATGGGCGTGCCACGCAGACAGACTGTGATCCGATATGGTCTGAATCAGTTCGTTCAATGAGTGCCATGCTCAAAAGACGTCAATTGAGTTACCTGCGTAGGTGCACTGTCATTAACCCAGATTTACCGCGCGTTTTTTTTTTTTTTTTTTTTTTTTTTTTGTTTGGTTTGGTTTTGCGTTTCCTTTAAGTGCCGAGTGTACATAAAATAAAAATAAAGTATACAAAAATAAAAATAAAGTATACACATTAACGGGGTTCCAAGGTCTAGTTTATTTGTCGGGTGGTCAGGAGAATGGACCATCAGTTATGTTGATCCATAAAATTCGATATGCGTGGAAACCCTGGATCGATTTAAACACCATAAGGGTAAAACAAATATGTGTGGTCCCAAGGTGTTTTTTTTAACAGAACCAAGAATTGATGTGCGTGCTGATCAGTATTGTTAATATATAAAATAATGTTCCTGGATTGGTTTAGTTTAATTCGCAGTTTGGACCTGCCTGCTTCGCTCGCTTTCAAAAGTGCAAGAATAAATGTGATTGGCTTACCAACTCTACAACTGCGCATACCTAACCGGCAAAGTAAACTGGGGTTGATTTGTTGTTTGTTTGTTGGTCTGCGAAATTTTTACAATGCTACACACGAATAGATTGTTTGACCAATTTGAAGTAGACCATTAAAATAAAAGTTGTTTCAAAGTTATGCCAGGCACTGCCCGTCAACGTCGAGAAGCGATGTTTCGGGCAGGCAAGTATCACGTGACCAAACTTACGCTATGTACTGGCGACAGTGGTACAGTATTTACGTAGAAATTATTATTTATTTGTCATCTTTCATCCCAGATGACTTGAAATAATAAGCATGCCACTGCAATGTCAGGTGACATGCTTCTGAATACGTAATCGAATCCGTCATAGCGTACAGCAGCCTGATGAGGTTGCGTTCTTCTCGATGCCGGTCAGCCGACAAGGGCGCTACTCACGCCTACATGACAGGCTAAGCTTACAGCTACTCACTGTTATAAGTATTTACTAAAACGATAAATGTCTATAATTCACTTCATCACCATTTCTGCTTAAGAGAAATTATTATTATGATATATTTCATAACCAAAGCAACATAAACAAGTAATTACAGAAATATTATACAGAAAAGAAAATGTATAAATCACATGGCATGGAAAAACGAAATAATTTTCTCCTGTATTTATTTCATCTTTAGCATTACGCCCGAAGAGTATCGGGGCAATCTAGGCGTAACGTTGGTGAACGATTCGATTACAGCTGCCCAAGGTTTCGGGATGGAATTCATGCTCACATTCATACTTGTATTCACAATCTTCAGCACGGTGGATCCTAAACGTCATGTGACTGGTAGTCAACCAATAGCAATTGGGCTTGCAATTATCATTGATCATCTCATTGGAGTAAGTAAAACCAATATTATATTTGCATGTAACAAAGATGTATTTCAAATATTATAATTATATGAATCGTGGTAGAAAACCCAGCTGTGTCGTCACTGTTTTTCTCAAGAAACTTCAGATCATTTGAGAAATAAGATTGTGATATCTATTCAACAGGCGTTTATAAAATGTTAAAGTGCGGTAGTCGTCGCGCTGCGCATGTGCCACATGTGTGTTGATAAATATTGATTGATGGGGTTTGACCTGGGCGCGACTGGCACTGATTACCGCCGGTGACTCCTTTGATACTTTCCAATAACATGCAAATTACTTAATTAAAGCTTGGAAACATCTCAATTCGTACTCGTTGATCTTCACAACAGTCAAAGTCGCTGTCTTTGTTTATATGAGACCCATATTTCTCGCACATGCGCAGCGCGATGACTACCGCGCTTTAAGTTTGTTATAATTTGACCAACGTGGTGTTTTGCAACTACGTTCATCATCATTCGAACACCTTTCACGGATAACGTATTGCCATCCCTCAGTATTATTATTGTTTTAAGGCCGGGCATCACATAACGGTGACGCTGTTTATTATATTGCCATTTTTACTGCTCCTATTATTCACTGTTGTGTTCAGTTCGTGCCGAGACTCAAGCACCAGTGGTTTACGTCACCACTTGACGACCCATTGGAACAACTAGCGATGTCCAATTGTTTGAACTGTTCATACAATAACTTATTAGTTTAGTCCTTGCGCCTTGTCGTTGAATTCGAATGTCAACGTTCCGTATGAATAGTCAGTTATTGCGTGGCGTGTCGATCTCGTTTTGGTGACACTGTATTGAAATGATGCTTGCATTATTGTGTTAGACAAAGACAGCATGTCAAGTAACCAACCGAGGCCACTGACCCGGAAAACAACCTCGCATTCATTGTCCCCACTTCTATGTCTACCGCTGAATGAATGGCTTTTGTTATTTTATGGTGTTCCATGATTATACAACAGTCTCCGTGGAGAGATTATGTTTATAACAACAGCTCATAGGGCGCGGTCAGTCACATATTCCATAGAAGGTCAGTTTCATTAGTCAGCTAAGAACAAGCCCCCATTTCAATCCATGTAACGCGGGTAAATAATATAATGAACCAAGATGAAAGGACTTTAAATTTGTATACTGTAACATACTTTATTTTTGCTTGGAATTTATTTTCACTATTTTATTATACTCAAAACGTTCCAGCTAAAATAACGTATTTTACAGTATATATAAATTGCCGTCCAATGCAGTTAAGACTGTATATTGCAAAATGCTGTCAGTTTTTAAAACAGTCACGGTCTCTTCATTGAGACTGAAATCCGGGTCATTCTAATCGTCGGTCAGTGTGACAGTGGTACATCGGTGCACTATATATATAAGAAACAGACAAAAACGTATACAATCAATTACAGAATTATTTAATAAACAGCTCTTACCTAAATCCCTGAAATATTATTAGTATTGTGCATCTCGCCAGGCACGTGAAATCATTTTGACCATGCAAAAATGAACAGAGATCAGAAATCTATTCACATATTCAAACCCAGGAACAATGAAACTCCAATTGCACTCAATGACACATAGTGGCTGTCTCGCCAAAAATATCGAATGTCAGCCACACAGTAATTGGCTTTAAACACAAGTCACAAGACTACTAGTATTTTAATGCTGCACAACACAACACACCAGACAGCTGTCCTGTCCTTGGCCTCAAAAAAACGAAGAAGAAATAAAGAAACGGATCTCAACTATAGAGGACACCAATCACAATATAGGGACATATTCATAAGAATATGGTTTGGTTTATATAAAATTATATATATATACTGAGTATACACCACTTTTCATTCATTTCATTCTGAACTTTCCATCAGTATTATGTAGTGCACCACGTTGATTCTTCAGCCTTGTCGTTGAATTCGAATATCAGCGTTCCGTATGAATGGTCAGTTATTGCGTAGCGTGTCGATCTCGTTTCGGTGACACTGTATAGAAACGATGCTTGCATTATTGTGTTAGACAAAGACAGCATGTCAAGTGACCAACCGAGGCCACTGACACGGGAAACAACCTCGCATTCATTGTCCCCACTTCTATGTCTACTGCTGAATATATGACCTTTTTACACTCAAAATATATATATACATGTATATACACCACTTTTCATTCATTTCATTCTCAATATTCAACGTTTCATCAGTATTATGTAGTGCATCATCTTGATTCTTCAGCAAAGGATTATGGGTAAATGATGATATAGCGTTTCAGAAGACCTAGATTTAAAATTTGTCAAGGGGAAGCATGCCCTGGACCCCTTAGTAAGGTCGTAATTACGGCGTGAGGGATGGTAAGCAGACTCAATGCAAAATTACGTGTCGCCGCCTCTGAGGTAGATGAAACGATTACATGACGTGACTCATGATGCTGATGATTCCAAGACTGTCCAGGTTCGCTGTGTTAAGTGTTCATTTCGAACACCCCCTCAAAAAATGTTTGGGCGTCGCCCACCTAAAATCAAGTTGAAACCCTTTGTGTCAGAAAAAGTTGCCACTCAAAATGCAGGAAATGGCGTTTCAGAGGGTCTATATTTCAAAATCGTTAAGGGGAGAATGCCCCGGAACCCCTAGAAAGGATGCGCCTTTGGCACGAGGTATGGTGAGCAGTATCTCGATCCTCCATTAAAAATTTTGTGCCGTTGAATATCGTTGAATGTGAATTTTTGTGGGATTTTTGTTATGTAACCATTTAATTGTGCCACCATTAAAATTATTAAAATTTCAAATGCAAACATTACACATAAAAAGCAAACAAAGTTACCAAGGGTGAGTTGTTACAAATAAACCAAAATGCTGTTATAAAAGGTCCATGGAATTGTGAACCATATTTTTTTCGTTAATATCAATGAAAGCCAGTATGACAAGGTCGCGTGAGTTGCGCCCTTCACGGTGCTTCAAACCCAACACAGTTGGCCTACATGTCAGGCTACAATGAAAGCAGAAGAAGCTCATCGCGAAGTCTCTTGTCAGTATAATAAAATCCC